AAGATAGTTTTTTCCATTCAGAGGAATTTTTGAATCGCGAAAATTACGTCAATTTTGGAATTTGTCATCAATTTTATTATCAAAATTGACAAAGCGACCAAAATGACTATTTTTGGAAGGGGGGTTGGCACCCTTGTATCAATTTCTCATGATGTCAAATTCAATTCTCGACTGTTCCTGAATTCAATGTTCGTAAACTCTTAACCGAGTTTGAATTTTCGAAACTTGTCGGTTTTCAGCTTTCCGGCTTTTTGGATTACAGAAAAATTATCCGGAATACTTTGTCAACGGTTTCAAGGTTCCATGCTCCGCAAAGGCGTGGCAGACGCTTCTCGTTGGTAAACCCACCAGATTTCTTCAAAATTGAATTTTTTTGTCCCCATTTGGCAGATGCGCCTTCAGCTCCTTGACGGTGAGCTCGGTGACTTCGGGCTGCTATCGACCATTTTTCCGAGCATCTCAAAAAGCCGAAAAAAATTTTAGAGGGCCCGTGGCCATACCGGGTTCAATTTCTGTACAAATTCGATGAGCTTCTTTCGAGCTTTCTCATCGAGACTCTCGATGCCGGATACGGCGTTCAGTTCCACGATGCCATCAACATCTAAGAGAGGGATATCTGTACTCTCCTCTCTCTCTCTCTCTCTATCTCTCACCGCTCACCGAATTGATGCATTCTTCCACCTGATCCGCTTTCACGCGCCAAATGTTAACCTTGTATTCGTTGCAGAGATATTGGTAGAGCGGCCAGGCCAAAAAGATCTGAAGCGTCGAGCTTTTCTATACAATCAGATGAGACACCTCGTAGGTATCCTTCTTTGTAAAGACGCCGACGGGGAACGTGTGGACGTAGGGGCCAGATGCGGTGCGCCGGCTCGCTGACATGGTGCCATAGAATTGGGTGAGGAGGCCGAGGTCGGTCAGGGAGGGTTGTTTCTGGAAAATCGTATTGGACGCGGGGGCCGGAGACGGAAAGTGGATGCGACACCTGTTAGGTGAAGCGAAATTTGAAGCAGCTTAGGCTTAGTTCGAGGCTTGACCTCGGTTTGGCTTAAGCAGGCTGAGAACTTAGGCGTAGGCGTAACTTGAGCTTTGGCTTAGCAGCTCGTCTCTTCACCCTTTAAACGCACCTGGCCAGCCGGCAGCGGTTGCCCAAGCAAAGTCACGGCCCAAAACGCTGCATATACTGCTTCAAATGGCTTAAGAGCAAAATGATCAAATTTTTAAGGATCCCACTCCGGGGTGTACGGCTTTTGCCCGTCACAATATTTGACGTGCTCCCAGAAACGGCGCGCCGCAGACGAGGTGGTGTCTACGCGGGCAAGATCTGAAATATGTAGTGGGGGAGCTACGAAACAGGTCTACTGAGCATCTGCGTCGTCATCAAACCGCCGGCCCCGTCGAGGGCATCGTAGCGTTGCTTCTGAACAGGAAAATATTGTTCATAGGAGCTAGAACATCACTTTCATAAAATTGCCGCAGGCGTACTGGTGAAAGTCCTCGCACGGGTCGACCCGTTCGTCCATGCTGTTCAGCTGCAAGGTAAGTGATATTTGAATCGATGTGGCGATGCGGTTTTTCGGATTCGTGCATCAGGTCTCTTTTCGTGCAAATTCACGCTAATTTTCAGTAAAAATTCCATTCTGGGTCGTGGATCTTATTTTTTTTGCCCCAAAATTGCCAATTTTTCGGCTTTTACAAGACTACAGTTTTTTAAAGGCCTTTTACCTTGAAACTTAGTAAAAACTATATAAAAATTTTTTATAGGTATTTTATGGCTAGGCCAATAGATACCGCGAGGAATAAAGTCCCAAAAATCCACCATATAGGCAGCGATCATCGTGCAGCCGGGCGTCACGCAAACACTAGCATCCTAATCGAAAAATTAGGGGTACCGGAGTGGTGGATACCTCTGAAGACTGAGCGTTAGCTAGAACGAGTAGCACTGGGAAAAGTATTTGCCTCATCACCACGAGCAGCTGGGGTTGGCTGGAATGATGTATTTTCTTGCTGGCTGCTCTGACGATTTCTGATTCTCGGCTGGCGATTCTCTGATTTATGCAATACGGTTTCAAATATTCGAATTGCGCTTCCAAATTCGAGTTTTTAGAGAGCTGTGCGCCCATCAAAATCCTTTTTCCGGTGCTTTCGGATTTTTTACAGTATTTGAAGAATATTAAAAGTTCTATCAAAAGATTCCGTTTTGTTTCCGGGTTTGTTGCAAATTTCAGGATTTTTATGCTATTTTTTTGGGCAGATTTTTTGCAGTAGCGTACGCAAAGCCGCTCCGCTACGCAAAGATGTCGATTTCTATGGAAAATGACCGGCGACTGATCGGAAAATTTCGCCGACTATAAGATCACTATCTCCAGCCGATGGGAAATCGAGGATCGTAGCGGGATGAAACTCTGCATAAAAAGCCCGCGGGTTCGTGCCCTGCTTCTCGGCAGAACCACCGTGATTTCCGTAAAGTTTTGCGGACCACCAAAAGGTGATAGACCACCGGGTATGCGTGCGCACGAACTGTTCGTCTGCATGGACGATGTCATCGATGAAACCGATTGCATTGCTTTCCTGAAAGCGATGCAGCCACATGGGTCAAGGTATCGGGTTTTACTCCTAATGTTCTACGACCGCAATCAAAGCGCAGAGCAGCTCATCCGGTACCTAAACGACAATGTGTACCACCTGCATCTGTACCCGTTCCCCGACGAAAAGCTCTGGCTTAACATCAAATGTCCAAAATTCGACCTGCCATGCTGGATTTGGGAAAACGTCGACATCCAGGACTTCATCGACGCATGTGTGGCAGAATGGAAAGCCGGCCGACGCGAAATTGACTGTATCCAGATCGCGCAGCGGAGCCGTGTGCGCGTTGAAGAACACGTTCGAGCGGATGGAGAACGCATTCAGGTCGTCGACATGTGTCCAGGATGGCTTATTCAAAAAATGCCTAAGTCACTCGCCAAAGTCGCCATGTAAAGGCTATGCAACGCTCGGTTGGCCCAACTTAAAGCAAATTTTTAGTTGTTTTTGATTGTGGTTTCACTTTTCTGTAAGTAATTGTGTATTTTTAATGGAGACTTGGTCGTAGCAATTCACTGAATAAAACTTCGGCTCTGACGCTATGTTTTTTTTCTGAGTTTGGGAGGGAGCCCTTCTCTAACTAGGGGAGCCCGAATAAACCACGGCTAAGAATTGGCTGAAATTTTGCGCGGATAAAGAGTCGACCACGCTGATCTTCACCCGTTTTCCGAATTTGCCACTGATCTTATTTATGTTTTAGTGCCAGTTTTCGCCCCCGAGAAGTGTTTTGCCATGAAGCCGTTGGTTTTTTTGTCTTTAGGTTCTAATCCATTCTAAGTAGCCTATTTGAAAGAAACATTTTTTTTCTCATTCGAATGGTATTTGTTATTCAAGCAGTCGACGACGAGGTCTTACAGTTATTTGAAACAGGCTGTTTTTCACTAATTCCCATACAAAAATCCGAGTCCATATCGCCAGGTTTTCCAATTCTAGTTTTCGAATATTTTTGAGCTAGAGGACCATTCCAAAGTAAATATGTTTTTGCATACATAATTTTTGCAACATTGACCGACAATATCAAAAAATCGAGGTCGATGTTTGACGATTTTCACTAAAAAAAAAATCATTTTAGTAGCGGCGTATCTCAAGCTTTAGAGATCACTAGCAAATGTCGAAGACGGGTTGATGATCAGCATGGACAAACCTATCTGTGTGCAAATTTGGCAACTCGATTCCGAGTTTCTGGCTCCCCGTGTTATACAAAAAATACGCCCCCCGTCTGAGATCAGCATCAACCTCATGACCATTGCAAATGGTCATGAAGTTATGTCTTATGTGCTTGTCAAAAAATCTTATGCGACGCTAATACGCGCGGTAAACCGTGATAAGCGGATTAAGACGAGACCCGGCGTTCTTATCACCTGCTTATTCGAGTGTATTGCTTCTATAAGAGGGGCTGCCGTCCGAACCCGAGCCACAATCCTCGCTACAATCCCTTCGCATTGGTAAGTTTTGAAGGTTTTCGAGTTTAGGATGTGAACCCATTTGTCTTTTTCAGCGCTATCGATTTGCTTTCTGAAATTCCTAGCGGAGACGGGTTTTTATTTCTGTTGACTACTGTTTAGTCCCAACCCCTCCCCCACCTGTCATTTGGCCGTCTTCTATCGGATCGGCCCCAAATTTTGACCAGCGATGTGGTCCCATACAAATTCAGATCCGACCAAAGTTTCTAAGAAAAATATTGTAAAAAAGTTATGTTATTTCCTCTAATTTAACCCGGAATTATATTTTTTTAATCACCTCAGGGGAGGGGGTTGTATTAGAGGGAGGGATGTATTTTTCGTGTTTTTCGGCAATTACCGCGATTTCTAGCAGGCCAAACTGCTCGCAACCACTCAGGAACACGAGACGAAGCGTAAAACAAAAACGTTTTTTGGCAATTTTCGCTTCTTAAACGCAACTTTCAGTTTTTTCAATTGTTGGGGGGGTGGGGGGAATCGTTTTTCATTCATTTTGTTCGGCAAGGAAAAATTATTTGTATCACGGTGAAAGGGATAAGCAGACTGTTGCAGTGACCTCCAGGCCAATGTCTCGACCACCAGCGCACGAACATTCGCCGGTAGGTATTTTTCGCCACAACTTGTGTTTTTTTTTTGCCAATTTCCCATGCCCTGATTCAGATGGCATTGGGAAATCTCCTAGGGCAAACGCAGCAAATGTTGGCTTGGCAACATTTACAAGTGGGGTCGATCTGAATAATCAATAATTTTCAATCGGTTTGCTATCAATTTGTCCCAATCTAACTGTGTCAAAATCTCAAATTATCAAATGCCAAATAATGAATGGTAATAATGGCAATAATGGAAACTTCGACAAGATTAAATTTCGACAAATTGAAAGTTGGACAAAATGAGTTTTTCGACAAAATGAATGATCGACAAAATGATAAGCCTTTTCAATAACCATTGTTGCAGAGCAATGCTCCGCAAAATGGGCAAATGCTGCGACCTCATGATATGATCCGCCGCCGGGTACGTATTTCCTCTACCTACCACACTGCATTTATTTTTCTCCATAATGTGAAACTATTCCAGGTGACGCCGCAGGTACAGCAGGTTCCGGTACAGCACCGGTACAGTGCCACCATGCCACCGGAGGTAAGAACCTCAACCAAAAAAATGCTGGTAAATATGTCTAGGCACCAGCACCAAGCCAATCGCCAAATCATGCCCAAAAATCGCCGAGCCCAACACAAGTGTGAACATTTGCATTTTTACGATTAAAGATTTCTTAGAAAACGATAAACCCAAAGACCGTGCTGGTGAGCGGGATACCAAATGAGAAGGAAGACGATGTATGGAAATCGATGTTCAAAAGACTAACAGTCCCCGAAAGGGGAGGCCCTGAAAAGGTATAGCCAATGCCGCGTCGCTACCTAACGTGGTTATTCAGCATCAACTACCACGACAATGGAGATTGCCTGCTGACGTTCGAATCGGAAGTGATTGCCAAATTGGTAAGCGCTCAAACGTCCGCAGGGTCAGGGGCGTAGCCAGAAAAAAATTTCGGGGGGGTCCAAAAATGTTTGCAAAAAACTCAAAACATGAACGAGAAAACATCGTAGCATTTCTCACATTTTCTCACTTCGCTGGATTCATTTTTGAACAAAGGTTACATAGCTCTACAAATAGCCGTAAAACCGTGAAAAAATAGCGCCGCAGGCAGCAAAATTTGTGAGAAAATAAAAATCATAAGGGTCCCTCCTTATGAAATTTTCAGGCCCCGGCCGATTTCGGGGGGACGGGGCCGGTATTACGCTACGTCCCTGCGTAGGGTTACAGGTTGTCCCAATCAAACACCGCCGCTCGGCGTCTCTCCGATCGGGTTCAAGATCCGAGTGAAATTGTCAAAGTAAACCTTAATTTCACAATAATTTTGTTTTTTACAAGCTTCGGCTTAGAAAATTCTGCTCCACATAGTTTTTTTGGGGCCCTAATCGCTGTTATTTGAGCCCGATCGGAGAGAACACGGCCATGCTCCGGGGGACAGTTCTTTTATTGAGCCACTTTGTATATTTTTCAGTTTATTGATCACTACAACGGGAAACCTTACCCTTTCGACTATAGGTATCAAATGCGGATGAGCTACGGCGAGTTCAGCATCGAGCGCCAGGTAGCGGCGTAAATTGCCGAATGCGACGGGCAACGGTCGTTTTTACAGATACCCAACAAGAAGAAGCTGCGGATCACGGGGCTCAGCGCCGATTGGACCGCAGAGGTCATTTACAAACATTTGCTCGGGTCGAGCCCCATGGTGAAGAAAGGAGTGTGGGTTTTCTACGTTGCGATAACGCATATTGTTAAACACAACTAAATGACCGCATTTGCAACCGCAAATTCTGACGATACAAAAATTTGCAGCGAAGGGGTAAAACCGAAGTTAGACAAGAGGACGGGGCGTTACCAGGTGATAGTCGACTACACCTCTGAAGCCGCTTGCCAAGAAGTAGGCGGAAAAACCGCTGATCTGAACTCTTTTTTCGTTAGGCCATTGATCGATGCCAAGCAAAGTATCCGGGAACGGCCCTGGAGGCTAGCCATCTACTCGTCCCGGCTTCAAGTGAGTGCTCGCGCTTTTCTGCTGGGTTCTAAAACTGCGAATGGGAGGTGTAACCGCTCCCGTCCAGTTTATCCCCCCAACGCCTCAGTCATGTATTTCAATTTCAATTATTAATGTGCGGAGTATTTCGAAATCTTCGCCATGTTCGAAACCCTATGGTAAAATTGTTTTCCTAAATAAAAGATTGCTAGAAAATTGGAAGTCTGCGTACCCTTTCGTTAATTTTTGCAGTTCCAGTGAGTTTTTCATATTTCGGCTCGCCTTGGGCTTATAGGACTCGCAAGGGTACGAAAACAGCCCTTGTACTGTAGAATAAGAAGACGAAGAAGAAGTACGTTTGAGTCCAAACTCGCGGACATACATATTCGAATGTAATCGCCGTGCACTCAAAAAGTCGTTTTCGCCCCGTGAATTTATCGGTTTTACCCAAATATTTTGCTCTATTTCGCAACAAAATCACTTTTCTGGTAGTTCCCGACAGTACTTCGACGCGACAGCAAGACTTCTGGAATGGGGAACACTGAAAAAATTGTCGCATAGCGGATTCATTTTTCAAATTTTAAAAACTTGTCAAAAAATTTCGGCGATGGCAAATATTTTAAGATAATCGATACATTAACTGGACTTGTAGCTGGGGAGCTAGGGCCGGGACCTTTAGACCGTTACCGGTGAAAAAATATTTTTCAGGCCTTCTTCCAAGTCGCACGAAGCTCGTCATAAAAGGCTTGCCTAAAGATGCCACCAACGAAGAGGTCGTGCGCTACCTGTTCATGAACGATCCTGCCCTAATCGTTGAAAGGCATCTTCGAGTTTAACGCAGCGCTCAAACGACTTTTAGCGTCACCGTCTTCCGCAAGATGTGCGTGGCAGAGTTCAAGACGGCAGAGGCAGCTCAAAACGTACTTTTTTTGTTGTTTGGCTGATATTTCTTTAGATGTTCCACGATATCGACGACCAACAATACCGCGGTCAAGGCGCAGCGCTTCAGGTTGAATGGTTCAAGCCCAACTGAACATCGGTGGTGACGAGAAGCAACACGCCCCCGCGACCCAAGAAAACGAACAAAGGCCAAAACAAAAAAGAAACACAAAAACAAAACAAAAACCAACACAAATCCAAAAAAAAACGTTTTGTCATTTATTTGGCTTCTGATAATTGTTGTGCAAGCCTGAATAAATAATTGTTAACCAATCCAGTACACATAGAATAGGGGGATAAAATATACCGCCACGGCGGATAAAACGACGGGGAGCAGTCATTATTTCTAAAATTTTCAATACCTATGATTCCCAATGAAGAAAAGTGATGCTTTTTGCGATTTTTTTGCTTAAAGTAAGCTTACTTATGTCGTAAAGTGATTACTAAGACACTTCTTGGACTCTGATGGATGGGCCAAGAAACTGGGTTGATGAACCGCCGAAAGGCCAGCAACAATAGGTTATAATTCCAATGATTCCGATTCCAATCATAATTTTGTAGTTTGTAGAGAATGTCTCTTTTGAATCGGTCTCGGCATCACCTTAAAAAGGAAAAATCGCCCTCTAAAAAACACTTACCATCATCGTCGGGCGGTATATTTTGTAGCAAATTAGCGGGTAATAGGCCAAACATGGGAATTCAAATCGATCTATGGACTTGAGAGGTTTACAAATAGAGAACAGCAACCAAAATCTTGGCAGCGGAGAGTAGCTGCTTGACCTTGAGATGGGATCTCATTGGAAGATCGTCAGGCGGAACCAGTTTCTCGCTTGTTATGCAGGGATGTCAGGAATGTAATGCCAAGCGCTTTGCGAAAATAATGGAAACCAGTGGCGATGATTTTGAGCAAAAAGCAAAACGTTTCGCTCCTGGGTGGGTTCGAACCACCGACCTTTCGGTTAACAGCCGAACGCGCTGCCGATTGCGCCACAGAAGCCATGGCTCGTGGCGGGGGGAGAGTATAGGGGAAGGACAAGGCAGTCAGCAGTCCGCGGGATCCTTTCCTAATGCGAGCTCGCTTAGAACGTTACGATCCAAAGATCCTATTTTTTAGGCTTTAGAAACCTTCTAAAGTTAATTCAGGACTTTCAGATTGAACAAAGCTGTTTGCTTTATTTAATGGAGCGTATTTTGCGTATTTGCGTTTTTACGTAACATAACCAATTTCCATAAGTTAATAAAATTTATTTCTATTTATTCATTCTTTTTCTTCTTGTCTGTCGTCTTCGAGCAGCCGTTTCCGCACACCAATGACTTCACTTTTCGTGTTGTACAGCGGACGCATTTGTAGAGCAAGAAAAACACGAGGAAGAGCACGGTAGACAGGAACAAGATGACGTCCAACGAGTGGTAGACGAACCAGTTCAAGTTGGTCCCATACGGCACCAGATTTTCGAATTCCTATGCAAAAAAAATATAAATGTTTCGTGAATTTACCTTGAATTCTGCGAGGAACGTGGTCCACTTGAGGAGCAGCTCCTCTGGCTTGATCGGCTTCTTCTTGACCATCTCCGAGATGCGCTTGGCCACGTTGTTGTACCTAATTTATTATTTTATTCATTTATTTATTTTTGTACCTAAAAACGTGATGAAAATAGCTGAAAGCTTGGAGAGATTTTTGTAAAATTTGGCTTACTTTTCATTCTCCAACAATTCCTTGAGTGCGGCAACGACCGTCTCGGTGCAGAGTCCCGTTTTTCGGACGTTCACGCCAAAGCCTGGAAATTTTAATTGGCTTTGAATTACTGTATACTAGTTTACGAGCAAAATAATATTCTCTGCTAAATTAAGTGATTTAAAAATAATAAACTGTAAAACTAACCGAGCTGTTGAGCCATTTGGCATTTTCGGCTGATCACCGAAAAGTGGAATTGTCATAATTGGCTGACCGCTGTTGAGGGCTTCCTCAAAATTGCTATAAGCTACCGTAATTTAGTGTTTCGGAGTAATTCGATTTTTACGGAGCAGATTGAACCAATTTTATTTTATTTTATTTAT